AGAAAAAAAAGAAGTACAAAGTCATGGAGGAATAAGACTTCACAAATCATGGCATTTAATACCCAAGCTGCCTAGTAGGGTCGAGAAGATTCATTAGTATAATTAGATGGGTTATACTTAAGTGGGAWTTTATATTACTAGAATATTACTATAAATTCCTATAAATTCCCATTTAGACTTTATTTTCCTAGAATAAGAACGGCATTCCTTGTATATTTTTACTCTGTTTTGAAAGTGGCATCAAGTGTGCTGGAAAAAAGGCCTGCTCTCATTCCTGTGCTAGAATTGGTTTATGCAGACAGGGAATCGTATTGTTAAAATCATCACCTTATTACTCTGCGGTCTGTGTGGGCAGCCTTCGTTCAGGCATAATGCCTTGYTCCACATTGCTCTAACAGTATACTCTGATTTTCACTGATACTCCATTGGCTCCTGAAGTCACAGTTTGCTTCATTACATTTTAGGATATAAATACAACGTATCTTGACTCACTTATTTGGCTCACAGTAATGCACAGCTAATTCTGACAAATKGTAATTTTGTAACTCATCCTGAAAGAACTTTGCAGGATCATAGTGACAACCAGGACTCAGGAATAAAACCTCAGGCTTCCKGGTCGGCAGTTGTTTCCTAGACTATTTAGACTTTGTGACATTCACAGCATGTGATATAAGTGGGCTCCACAACGGKAATTGGCACAGGAGAAACAAGACAAATTTCCTCTCATTTGAATACCTGCATTGTTTTCTCTGCTTTCCTATTAACGTAATAGTTCCTTTACCACGAGATTAGAGGAAACAGGAGAAATTCTGCCATCTCTCTGATGTGTTGCCACAGCTTCAGATTAGTTGACATGTTGAAAATAGAAGCAAATGCTGGCTCAGTAGTGCCAGGGCTGGCATCCCAGAGAGTTCAGACTCACTCCTCCTTGTATTCTGCARTACATTTCTTTTTAGCAAAGAGAATAGGCAAGACATATCTTCTACTGCAGCAAATAGATGCAAAGCCAAGAAAGGAGAAATTTGTTTAATCTTAGCCAACTGAAACATCAYCTATTTAATTCTAGTCCCACTCAGTTCCTGGCCTAGCTGAATAGTTATCTTTCCCTCTGTAAMTTACATGAATAATGCTGGGAAAAGCAAAGCTTCTCCTAGTATACAATATTTATCACAGACTTTAATGTTTCTGAGATACAGCATTTCCAAGAAAATTCTGAAGCYTTATTACCACTTTGGGGTGGCTTAAAAAAAATCAGATAAAAAGAAGGATAAAAATCTATAGGATGCAGATAACTTTAGGCAACTTTTTATAGTCCCTGTATGCTTTCCATAGAGCACTGATGCATAAAGGACATTTTCACTGCTCAGTTTGCATGAATGCAGAACACTGTTACAGACAGGCACTGAAGCGGGTATCAGCCTATATTCCCATTCTCTCCAGGGTCATCCTGAGGGTGAAACAAGATCCAGTGTTATTTTTTTAAAACTAGCCCAGCCTTATTTTGACTTAGCTTTTCATATTTAGATGCTTAAGTGCCAAGATCCAAAGTCTACTTTTTAACTGTGTTTGTAAAGAGAGAAGMCCACATGACACACTCAGTGAAGAAGAAATATAGCAAGATACAAGCAGCACAGTTTATCCCCTTGTCAGCTCAGTAGAAACCCATTTGTAGGCTTACAGAAGTAATGAATAGACAGCAACAGGATGGACCTGGAGTTAAAATATTATTTACGTTCAATGGCTGTTCTTTGAAAAATGCATTRGATAAATAACTCTGCATGTATTTGCCTGACTATACTATCTCTGCATTTCCTTATCTGTATTCCGCTGAGATACTGTATCAGGGTGTGTGTTGCCAGTGTGCTGAAGGCATCTCCTCACCCCTTCCTGCTTCTGAGGTGTAGGCTTTCATCTTTGTTGACAACTGGGTGATACCCAGTAGCTCTGTGTGTGTGTGTGACAAGTGAGCTGAGGCCATACCATGTGTACCTCTGTGGCAATCTCTGCTACCCCTAAGTGAAAATGAGTCAGGAACTTCACACTCTCAATTTCAGTTGTTTCTGCTAATCTGGCCCAATATAGGGGTTTGTATTTTGGGAGACTTAACATAACCTCAAATTTGCATGCTTTTGGATCTTCACTACAATTTATTCACAAATTTATTTCACACAATTTTATTTGCCTACCTTCAAGCTGATTCTCAGCAAGGCTTAAGATCAGCACATTGTACTCCTACTCGTATTAAGAGGAAATTAAATACAAAACCTGGTTAGTACTTTCAGGAGTTCCTGACATGTATCTGAATCTCTGGGCACTAAAATCCCACTGAAAATCTGTCTGTCTATCTCAGTTTTGTGTTTGGATAGGTCTCAATTATTTTCAAACTTGCATAGGCAGTTCAACACTCTGCAGATGTATTTGCTGTTTAATAAAACAGATAAAAATTATTTTATCTTTCAATAGTGAAAACCAGCAATCAACAGAATCTACTTCCTGCACAGAGCACAAAGATACTGCCAGTAATTCCTGAACAAGAGCATTGTCATGTGGATCAGCTGTAGAAGGTAAGTAAACATCTTACAACTCTGATTATTCTGGTTTGCCTCATATAATTAGATTTAATAGTATGCAATATCTGCTCAAAAATAACTTACTACTTCTTCTAACCAAGTATATGAGATTAAAAAAATAGATAATGTGATTTGTGAGAGCTAGGTATCAGGGAAAAAAAATCAATTTTCCTTCTGCTACCAAAAGTAATCTATAATCAAATGTGTTAGCCTATTAAACCCTGTGTGTCTCTGCAGGCCCCGGTGCAAATTCTGACACTATTTTCTGGTGTAAAATATTGTGTCCCAGACTTCAGCATTATGATGACATTTGTATCTGACAAGGGAGGGCAGAGGAAAAAGAGGAAAAAATCAATTTGCAAATGATCTCTGAAGAAAATCCCATCTATGAAATAAAGAGCTTGCTGATGAAATTCCCCAGGCAAAAGAAATTGCTTGCTCTGTTGTTACACCAGTCAGAAGGAATGACAAGATGTTGATTTCTGTTCAGAACTAAAACTATTCTCCCACTCCTAACTTTCTGCAGCCCTTGTGCTCCCAGTAATTGTTTCAGGAAGACCAGATATGAGGAAACAAGTTCGGAAAAAAAATGGGCAGTAAGAGATATTTCTTCTTGAAAATACTTGTAATGTCTTAGAACAGATGCTACTTGAATCAGAAACACAGACTAACATTTCAAGTGCATAGACAAGGTGAYGCAGTTGCTTGCACACATGATATTTTTGTGTATGGTGATTTTTTTAGGTCAAAAGTTTAAGGAGGACCTTCTTCATATATATTTAAATTGGATGGAGTTTTATTGGAAACTCAGTATCATGTCATGCTATCTTTTTATTGTGTAAAAAAATTTGATGTACTGAAGAGCAATTTCATTTTTGGTCTTCATGTGGAACTGTGAAGATGAAATTGTACAGTGAGAACAGAGCTAAAGAAAAAATTTTGAACATCTTTGCTGACAGAAGATGAGATAATTCCATAATAAATGAATAACTGAGCTAGAAAATTTTCTGGTGTTTGAATGAGACTAGCTGTGTTATAGAGTGGTATATTATAGTTATTAAAAATACTGACCACTTTTTAAGTGATTGTCATCCATAGATCTTGTGAAGACATACAAAGATGAGAAGTTGTTATTGTTATTATTACTCTTCTAAAATGAGGATATCAGGAGGCACAAAGAGATAAYACGACTTGGGAACTCTGTGACATAACTGACAGCTGTTCTCAGATCATSTGAGTTCACCTGATTGACAGCTGGACTCAGTTTCTGACTGAGCAGGTGCTTTCCAAGCCCCCTTAGCTTTCTGTAGGACAGCTTCTTCCTTGCCTCCAGGGACTTGTCCCAGCCTCTTAAGTACCAGCCCATTTATTTTTCTGATATCTGTCAACTATCTCTCAGGTAAACTTTTATCTTCCCATATCCATATCTGCCAGGTACCTGCCCATCTTAGTTGTTTTCTTACTCTTAGGTTAAAATGAAGACATTTCTAAGGTTGTAACAGGATATTCTGCTAAGTGGGTACTCACCTGTATTCAGTGCTTTCGTTTATACAATATTACTATATCATTAGTATGCTTTGTCCTTCCAGGATGTTGTGTTCACCTAAAACTTATCTTTTAGAAGAGGGAGGAAAAAAGTCATGGCCCATTCCCATATATTTACCTTTTGTGTTGCTAGAGGTGGGAGTAACTGTTGGGGTCACCTTTTGCTTTTATTACTTTAACTGGTATGAACTAAAGAATAGAAAGAAGAGATGGAATAACTTTTCAGATGTTTGATTGTTCTGTGAGACAATACATGAAATCCAGGATGCCTCGAGATTAATTATTCCCTTTCCTGAATCTCTGTGTGAGTGACTAAAAGAAAAAGATTGGGTATCTTGAGAAACCCCAAAARCCTTGTTCAGTGCTGTACAGAGGTGGGCTTCCTTTTCCAGATAGTCTTCCTGTCAGGACAGCTGGCAGTGAGGCTAAATCCAGCTGAGATATGTGGGAATAATGCTGAAGACATTATAAATTGTAATGTTACATGACTTTGTATGGAAATATTATTAAAGGATATGGCTGCAGAGGCAGAAACTTAAATTTAGATATTTTAGATCTTGCCTTTCATCATGTTAGGTTTTGAATACATTTCTCAGAGGAATACTGTCTCAGAGCTAAAGGCTCTGTGAAAATAAAAGCACTTTCTGATTTAGTTTTGCTTCACTTCCTGCAAAAAACCCCCTTCTCTCTTCATCTGATAAGGTCAGACTCAGCTTGTTGCTACTTGTGACTGTGGGTGGGTCAGTTCCAGGAAAGCTTGCTAGCTCTGAGCGCTCTTGGTTACTGAGGCAGGGGAAGGAGATTGTGGTCTGCTTTTTGCATGAGTGCTGGATTTGTCTCTGTGAAGTCTCTACAAGGCTGCTAAAGACTTGTTTGCTCAGCAGGGAGGAGTTGTGTTACAAGCACTGCACATGAAGGCTGAATACTGAGGCTGGAAAAATGCCAAAATGATTAAATTCTCAGAATTGTCAAAGACAGTTCTAGACTACATCAGGTTGATAAAGTGTGGGTTTTCCTCTGAAGGAGGAGGTAGGGTGGAGATAAGAAATATGTGCCAGGGATCTTCTTGATCAAAATCTGTCATATTTCTATCACTGACATCTGSTCTCCTGAAGCATGTGCATTTCAGACCATGGATACAAGAGTCTCAAATGACGAAGGATTCTAGGCAGGGCCAGAAACCCGAGAGAGCTCCACTGGGGATAGTGCTAACATCTGTCCTTCCACGCCTCAAACCTGGCTTGGATCCCGTTGGTAGAGTAACCTCAATGCCTGCCCTGAATCAAACAGGCAAGATGAGTTATATTTTTCCTCACCTCCAGCCAGCTGAAGCTGCACTCAGAGAAATCATGAACCACAGCACAGAGTTTGATATCTCTGTCAGGAGACTACCTACACAGCAGCTGTGGTAGGTGTAACAGCAGTTGTGAGGAGGAGGAAATGTAAAAGCAAGGATCACTCTGATCACAATCATTATTGCTACTGAGCTGGAGAACCTGCTGATGGCCTCAGCAGTGGCCCTTAACAGAACACATTGAAAGATGAAAGGCTGAACAACAGTTTTAACCATGGGAATGATCAGGGCCCTTTTTTGCCTATCTGTTGATTGTTGCTCCAGTCTGCAACAGGGAAGAGCTTGGAGCTTGTTGCTCCAGTCTGCAACTAACTCCTCTTGTTAGTATATTGGGAGAGATATAAATAATCAATTACACATTGCAATTTTCTGCTGTTTTTCTTTTTATGTTAGAAAAAGACACTTCTTTCTATCMGTGTATTTTTAATGTCTTTAGACTTAAGACAACTATGTCAATTATAACATGTAAGTATACTGATAAACATATGACCATACAYGCGTGGCCGTGTTTATCAATATACTTACATTCTGTGTGTATATATATTTATATTAATATTCGATAATATTCAATAATAAAAATCAAAGAATAACTGAAGTAAGAAGCTAAAGTGGGCAAGTAAGAGCCAAATCACTGTACCCATATGTAAGATGAAGCTGYTGGAGCATTCAGAACTGTGGTTTTGTTGATGGTTATCCCTGAGACCATTGTTGAGTAGGGAAGGTTTTGGCTAAACGTGCCCTTGGAGGCTTAAAGAAGACTGYCTCAAGGACTGAATTCCACTCTGTGTCATGCCCTTGTGACAATCTGCCTTTGCCCAGGATGGGGCCACGTGGAGTCTGGCTGTGCAGGGCTCACATCTATCACACCAAAGCTGCCTTTCAATCTTAGAGTGATTAGGGCAGAATAAAAGCCATGTGTTTACAGCATGAAGAGAAACTATGAGGCCTCTCCTACAGTACCGCTGTCCTCTGCCTGTTTTAGGMGAAACAGCATTGTACTTGTTGAATCAAAGGCAGCTTAATAGATTTCATGAATGACTAGGGACAGAACAGTGTTCTATTTGGGGAAATGAGAGACAGAGACCTGACAGTTCCTGGATGAAGTGCCATTTTATGAGGAAAAAAAGAAAGAACAAAAACTCAAGCGTCTCAAAGCCAACTGTTGTGGACTTCTATTTTCTTGAAAGTRTCCAGTGTTATGCTCTGAGCTGATGCTAAACCAAATTCACATAAACTGGTCACTATTACCCAAACATTTTATTTAATGCATCAATCTCTTTGACAATAAGTGCCCCAAGGACAAGATAAAAGAACCTTGATATTCTATATCCCATTAATTCTTYTAATAAAACCAGTAGACATGCCAAAGGCTGCATAAAAGACAATGGAAGTTCTACACCAGCAACTCCAATGATTTGTAGTACAGTTTTTTGCTACCTGTCTTTGTAAAAAGCTTTGAGATCCTTGAACAAGGTGCTTCACATCTCTGTATTTCTTTCTGAACTACAGTGTAGCTGTACAGGTACATAAGACAAGTTGGTCTCCTGTGAATATAGAATTTAAGGCATGATCTTATCTTCAGGCAAAATGGATTGCAAAACTGGAACATAAGGTCGATGACAGTTTACTGGCAGGAATGACACATGATGTATGGCTAAAAAGATGAAAACCTCAGTCAAAGAAATTGTAAAATAGAAGAATTGGATGGGTCCCATTTGTCTCTTACAATCTGAGAAGCATGTGGGCACAAAACCCTCTATGGATTATTCAGTAAATGTGTGAGAGGCTGACTGCTATCCAGCTACATTCAGAGTATCATCACTGTTACTATTTCCTAATGAAACACTCTCCTAGCAAATCAGGAATTTGATTGTGAATATCCTGGTCTAATGCTAGGAAATTTTAGTGCAGGTCCATCTWGGGTATTATCTGGCCTTTGGCTCACAACCCTGCTGCCTTCTTGAAGAGGCCTTTAAATGCCATCATTGCTGAACTTATTAGCAGAAAAGTGCAACTAAAAATATTCTTTGCCTGTTTTCCTTATGTGAATGTTGCTTTACAAAAAYGTTTTTGTATTTAAAAGAATCTCTCTCATCTGTCTTCAAGCAAGACACCCACACAAACACAAGACAGAAATAATGCAGAGAAAACAGTGAAACTCRTAAGAAATTCTAGCAAAGACATGTACCAAATGTGCTCAGAAAAGAGAGGGAGATTACAGTTAAACTGTTTTCATGCAGGTCTTTGTAAAGAACAGTAGGTGGGATTTTAAATTTATGGGATCCTTTCAATTATCTTTTTGACAGTTTTTCTGGAACGCATCATTTCAGTGCTCTGAAGTGATAGTACTGTGGTTAAAATTATCAAGGAATTTCATGTGAAGCTGCTGAAGGGAGATGTTCCTACTAATACTGATCCACTGGTTTTGCTGGTTGGCCACTTTTGTTAAGACTTCATTTTTTATACCGTAATTCCTATTGATAACTGTGATTCTATGATTTATGCCCTCATGCAGCTTTAAATTGCTTTCAGAACTGTAAGCACTGAATTACGTACTTACTTTTAAAATATCATGAAAGGTAATTCCTCCTGTTTCTGCTTCCATAAGAGATTCTAGTTTTAATCGTATATTAAAATGACAACTCCTCTCAGTACAGAAGAGCTCCTAGAATCAGATGGCTGAGCACATTCCAGGGTACTTGGCACAGTTACTGGATCCTGCACTAAATGCATGCCAGGATGTGCTTCTCTCCAAAAGAGACATGAAGGGTTTCCAAGGGAAGCACTCCTGCTTGCTGGCAGAACTGGACTGTAAGGGGCACTGTGCAGGCTGTTCAAACCCACTGCTCCATTAGCTGGCATCAATTTTTGATGCACTGTATCCTTCCTGCACTTGTCATTTTCTAGCTCACTCCAGCAGCTGCTGCCTCCAGTACGATTTCACAGCCAAGGAACACTTTTGAACCCAGTTCCTATGATGTAAAAGAAAATGTAGACAGATGTTGTAATCGGGCCTGCAGCTATGAGAGCTACCAGAATGGGTGACAAGCTATATTTGCTTTTTCACTCAGTGTGCAAGTAAGAATAACAGAAATCCTGTATTTCCACCCCACCTCAGTTTCCCTCCCTCAGCATGGTATTGTTCCCTAAAAAGTAAGGTAAACTTGAATGGAATCTGTGAGTTCTGGGAGCTGCAATCCAAATTCAAAAGTGTCATTGATAATTAATGAGAAGCATTTCACYTGGGAATGTGGAAAAAGCTGTCTTTATTTCATTATTTCCAAATTTGTCCCGCTGTATAGCAGTATAGAATGGGAAATGCAATTGGGCACAGAAAAGCACTTCAGCCAGGTGGATGTGGTGAATGTTTCTGGCTCTGCTCACCCTTCCATTGCCAGCTTCCCTGGAAGTGTGTAAGATCCAGTGTGCCTCACTCAGGTTCTTGTGTCACTCTCATGGGACAGATAATCTGAGCCACTATGCATCTGTCAGGCATCAGTGTCAGGTCTTTTGCTCCAGTCTGATGTGCACTGTCCATTTAATCTGGCTCTCAGTTACAATGTTGTTTTCTTTTGTAGTAAAGAGGAGTATTCATTACTTTGAAAGTCAAAATTATCACATTTGAGATAAATTAGGGAAGACCTAATTAATCTCCTCTTTTTTCTGATACTGTTTTCTTTTGTAACAGGTATCACCATATGAAATACCAGCACCACTGGATGAAAGAAGACACATCATACACCACAGAAGAAAGTATTCCCATTTTCAGCTTGGGGAGCTGTGTTATCCATCTTCTCATGGGAATGCCATTTATGCATTTTAGTTGACAAGCTCCATTTTGTCCATCTGAACTATTTGGTATTAAGAAAATATGCAGATGGAATAGCACATTTTGCTGCAGAAACAGCTTCAATAGGATAGTACAGATTTCACATCTMTTTTCTGTTCATTCAGGATTCATACTTAGTTACATGGTTGTGAGATAATCCTTGTGATAATTACATTTTTTTTTATAAGAGCAGAAATGTATATATTCCGTAGCATAAGAAGTCTGTATAAAGTTAGGAATTATCCTCTACTTTCGTGAAATGAAATGAGCACAATTTTTGACCTACTTGATGCTCTAGATGACTAAGATGCTTAAAAGATACAGCTTCTAGCTGTTGAGAAAGGTAGCTGAAGTATCACAAAAAGAAAGAATTCTGCAGCAAACACATTAGTTTCTGCAGTAAACTAGGAAGACCATCATAATCTGTGCAATATTTTAGTTGATAAAGGAAAAAAAGTGGGAAAATACTCATTTGACCTCAAATCGAAAAGTCATTGCTAATGTTTTTAAACAATTCATTAAGACATTAAATGTTTGTACTTTCTGAGAACTTGCATTTCGACCTTTTTTAYTAGCTTGGGTCATTAGCATTCAGATTCATCATTTCTTGTAACTTTTCCTTACTTTCCATTTACTACTGTTCCTCTGAGTGCAATGGAGCTGTTTGGGCTGAGCAGGGTCCCAAACTCCTTCAGTGCTAACATATGATTTGTGGGTACAGCTCAGCCATCAATTACCAGTCAGAGAAAGAAACTGCCAGGACTTCAGACTCCCCTGTGCCAAATCCATCAGGACGAAMAGATTGTAAACTGCCCATTGCAAACATGAGAGGCAGCAATTTAACATCACRCTAATACTTCATTACCTCCATTCCTTACATTTATACAGCCTTTCCCTCCTGAAGCTTTCTGAAATTGCATTTTCCAGTCTGCACCGTGCAGTTCAGACTTAATAGGAATAGTTGTGAACATCAGCTTCTGAATGATTTGAGGGCATATGGAATTTTTTATATTTAGTTGGACAAGTCTGAAGCATTTGTTTCTATTGTTTATTTGTTACCATCTTATTTAAAAAAAAAAGGAAGAGAAAAAGACTTTCTTGATTTGGGGGCTTCATCTCTGCCTTGGTCAGAACCAAACATGTGAAGAGAGGAAGGATGTCCTGGTGCAGCCTCTTAAGCACAAGATGATGGGCAGGAGGGGAGAGCCTCAGAAACCAGCAAGGGGAAGGAGACATGAAGGTGTACAAAACTGGTGGGGAAGGTAGAACTGAGGAAGCAGAGAATGTGCAAATTGGAATGGGGCTGAATTGGCAAAGGGAACTGAAGGAAAGGCAGAGACCACCTTAAATGCAAGCATCAGATAATCAGATAAGACACAGTCTGTGAGATCACAAAGAGCAGGAAGAGCCGGGCTGCATTTTCCCAAATCTACTAAATGGGTTGAGAGGCTTTCTGAASATGTTTAAAATTATTTGAATTACCTGGTGTTCTGGGTAAAACCTCAAGAGGCTGTAAAGGGAAGCTGTGAAGAGGAGATCAAAGTRGAGAAACTAAGGAGTTCTTAGCAAATGTGTGCTCAGGGACTTCAGCAGTGCAGGCAACAGAAGGAGAATGAGCACTGCACAACCAGAGTGATCATATAACTGTCTTCTTTCCTTCGAGCTCTTAGTCTATTAATGTTCTCATCTTCAACTTCCTTTAAGTTTATACAGATTTTCATTTTACTTCAGAAGTCTGTTATTCCAGTTCTGCTGAGCTAATCAGATGTCATCTCTTGATTATTCTGAGAAATGCTAAAAAATTCTTTTAGAGGCTTTTCTGTAAATCCAACTTTGAAAATTGTTCCTATTTTCAGAGAGCACATGTTTTTTTTTTTTTTTAATTATTTTCATATCCCATCTTTTTAATACAGCTGAATCTTTGACATTTTATTTTCAAATTTTAATTCTAAAACTGCACACCAYCATCAACATGAATGCTGAAGTAGGAGACAGAGCATGGAAAATGCACAATTTGCACAATAAAAGCATCTTCAGCAACAAAGGTTGACCTGAGACAGAATAAARTGTTTCAAGTCCAGAGGGTTTTCCRGTTCCAGTAAGAACYTCAAAGTAGGTCAGACTGGCTGATGGTGTCACAGTAAACCTTGCTCCGTGATGGTTTTAAAAAGAACTCAGGAAAGTCCTTTTCCACGCTTTACATTCTTCTGAGACTAACAGAAAAGACAGGGCTGTCATTTGAAATAGARCTGGAATGTCTCAAAGATAATCCTATGAGCTGGGTGAATGCTTGGTATGATGAAAACACTTCTGTGAATCAGAAAAAAAGGGGAAAATCTGTATTTGTCAATCAAAATACTGTGGCGTTTCAGACTCCTTGGAACTTTTATGAATCCTGACTGGTGGGTGACACTGGACACTACTGGTGACACACATCATTAAAAACCATCCCAACTGGTAATGACTGTGATTTTGTATGATATGACTGAGGTGCATTGTGGAAGAAGATATTAATGGTTTCAGTGAGTGATTTCAGCAGCATGAAAAAAAGTGGACGAGACAGTTCTTTTGTTCAGCTGTCTCTAGCAATGGAAGCTGAAGTGTAGGAGGAACTCATGGGGAAGACATGTTTAYACATGAATAGACTATACCCTAAAAAGCAGTAAACAGCTTACAGCTTGCTTTGGTTTGTTTAAAAAAAAAACCAAAACAAAAAACCAACCCAACCACCAAAAAAATAAGTATATATCCTTAATATACAGTAAATTATTTCTCTAACAGTCTAATTCCAGCTCATTCTTCAGGGATGACCTGTAACTGTGGAACATGTGCAAGGCTCTAGGTATGCAGACATTGCTTTATGCTTCATCTTGATAAATTTCTAACTTAGTGCAYAAGCCTGCCCCCTTTGTTTCTGGATGGGTGTGCTCAAAAGTGAATGGAATGCCATGGAAAACACATCTATTCAAGAGAACAGGTAATTTTCAAGAGTACTTTAAACCTAATAGTTTGCCAAGTGCCAAGGCACACTCAATGTACTGACCTGGAAAAGGGTAATGATGAAAGAAAGAATACATTAAAAGTTTAAGGACACATCTGTTTTTGTCAGTCTCCCACTAAAATCCATTCCAAAGGTTAATCACAAAATCAGAAAGTAAATTACTTCGCTGAGAATATACTTCCATCACATTATTCTTCAAACCACTCCCTTTTAATGTACTGTCTCAGTTCARTATCTCAAATTATTTATTTGAGTGGTGGAAAAATACAAATCAGTGTAAACAAAATATTCTGGCTACATCCATATAGTACTTTTCTACTGAAATATTATTTACCTAAAATTGATTTAAAGATAAAAYGTTCCATTTTCCTAGGACAAAATGACTGAATCTAAGATCAGATGGGAGTATCCATATGCTCATATCCTGCCCTGTTTCCCTTCCTATATTTTAAGACCCCACACTACTTTTTATAGTTTCTTTTACTTCAGGGTAAGGTACTTAATTCATAAATGTGTAATTTAAGCAAGACAGTGAAACTTCTAGTAAGATGTATCTCAGACAAGCAATCTTTGTTTTAAGAATGCCCCTCAATGATTTCARACATTATCCCTGGATGCTTCTGATATTATATGCAGCCTGTACAAATGAATTTGAAGACTGTACATCCTCTACTTACCCTGAAAGATAAGTCTGTTAAATTACAGGGTGCCAGAAAATAGATTTTGCATAATAAACCTTATTTCAGGGATAGGGAAAATTTCATCTCTAAACAATAAAAAATGGAAAAGTCACAGTGAGTGTGACAGCAGAACAGACACCATARTAGTGTAAAACACAAGTAGATCTGTCTGTCCTCTCTTACTTGGACTCAAAGAAGTCCATGTGCAAAGCAGATACATGGTTTCCCTTTTCTATCAAACACAGAAACTTCCTCAGGCTGTATTTCATTATTTTTATGATATATGACCTAAACTTACACATATTAAAACGTTAACTGTAAAAATTAGCATTTAAATACAATTCATGAGTATATCAAGAGAAAAAAAAATACAAAATAGCTGAAAGAAACATAATAAATGGCAAAAATCCAAGAGAACAGGCTAYGTAAAATATTGGAAAGTTTCTCCTGTCTGAGAGGTAAACTAGACTAAAATTCTTAGGTCCACAGCTCAGGATTTTAAGCAAAAGATGTGGACAAACTAGCATGATGCTAGTGCTGTTACAAAATGTTATTCCTGTTGCTTGTTTATGCCCTGCCTAACTATTGCCTTGGAAAAAATGTGATTGCTCTGACATATCACCTCCACACCCAAAGCAATTCTCTCATAACTTACTACAACTTCTATTTTTGAACTAGGTGTCAGCAGTAGGTATCAGCAAACTCCAAAGTGCTAATCTGGAAATACATATGAGAGAAAATTATTTAGGAGGTGTTTCAATTGCCAAACAAAGTGGAAATTTTATATCCCTTGCATATTAGAAAGATTACTTTTGTCTGGCGTGAAGAAATGGAGTGAATGGAAAATGAAAAAATAGACCTAAACRAATATAAAGTTTTGGGTCAGCAAATAGAGAGTTATACCCGTACTCTAAACTGGCTCAGAAAATTTCTATCCACTGTAATTCTTTATGCATATCCTCCATAATTTTAATTTAGTAAAGTTAATACTACTGCTATGCAACTCCTTTAATACGAAGTGTTATGTTAGTGGTACATATTAATWTGATGTTATTATTTGCTACTGGAAATAATATTTAACAAACTCAACACTATGATAAATTGTTCAYCTTGGCAAAAATTAAATACTGAAACCAGCTTTTGAAATACACATTTTTAACTGACATTTATAATACAAACAATAGAAATGGTCATTTTAAGTGAAGTGTTTTAAGAGACTTTACATTCTAATTTGTTCCATACATTGTTTACAACGGAAAGCGTCAACATTTAAATCTGTGTTTAAGTAAAGCTAATATCACTAAACTTCTAYTTAAATTAATGCAAAGCATGAACTATACTGAAAAAAAAATTACTCACTCTACTAACTACTTCTAAAGTCTGAAAGAGTTTTAAAATGTTGTTCAGTACTGTATGTGCAAAACTGCATTTAGTGTCTTCAAAGAGATCTAGTGGCCAGACATCTCTCATACCAGCTCTTCTCTTGGCACAGTTAAAGACATTGGGTCTGTGGCTGCTGTCAGGCTGACAACTCCTGGGCTTTCAAACAACTGGTCTGGATATGGGAAATTTGCAGAACTGGAAGCAGTAACTGGAAAGCATCCTGAATATAAGTAGTACTGTTGCAGCCCTAATGGGGAGAGAGAAAAYATGTGGTTCATCAGTACACCTGCCATATACTTCAGGAATTCAATCTTTTTCCTTTCTATTTTTTCTTTTTTATGTCTGCATCATGCTMTATTAGCACATGGCTTCATATAAGATTTCAGAATCTGTAGATAAGAAAAATAATAAATTACACCAGCTTTCAGCTAATAAGCACATCCTGWTTCACTGTACAAAAATCTGACTTCCCCTAAGTTTGAACTTTTGAACAGTTTTGTTGATAATATGAGTAGAATGAAATGCCACAATGTTCAGAAGTAGATTTGACTTTTTAAACACAAACCACCTAGTCTTTTCATCAACTGAACTAATTTTGAATTTGCTGTAGGTGGAAGAAGTAGCACTGAAATTAACAGTTTGAATTAAAATGGCTTTAACATGTAGTACTATTTTTGGAATTTCTAATACTGAAGAGTATAGTGCTTGTAATTCTCYTTTATCATARGCTGTACTAATATATATTTGTATACAAATATGGGATTTATGAAGTACAAAACACTRTATTCAACAATTCTGAACGTTCCCAGATGTTGTGCTCCTGGAGCACAGGAAGATAAGTCAGCAGAAAAAGCAAATTTACCCTAAAACAAAAGGAACTGTATAGTAGTCTTTACTACAGCTATATTCAACTTTGTTATTTTCCTTAAAGGTATTGTTAATTCAGTGCAACATTGCTTATTTTAAAGCAATCTTCTGCTTTTTAAGAGAATGCACTTMTTAAATACAGAATGACAATTTATGGTCATTACTACACCTTTACTTCTATTTTAAGAGAAGCATGATCTAACTAGTTAGAAGTTTTAAATTTTGTTAAAAATTTGTTTAAAATTTATGCTGCAGATACTATGTTTTTTAGGACTTCATGAGGATATTACTTCATTTCAAACATTTCTTGATAGAATTGAAGTACATTTTACTCACTTTGCTTTTCTGAAGAAAAATAGATCATGGTGTCAAACAAAAGAAATCACTCATAAACATTTCGGTAGTCTGACACATGGTTATTTATGTGCTGGCCAAGGCTGTTGCTAGACTGTGAATCTTTGCAGAAATCTAATGCCTGTAGATGGGAAACACTGTAGCATACCTATAATGCAAATTTTAGAGGAAAGCATAGTCTGAAACTGYAACTTGTTGCTGTGCTCTGACCAATATAGCAGCACATTTTCAGAGCTGGCCAGCCTCACTTCAATCATATAGCTCTTCAGAATCCTCAATAAATGCAACCTTACTACTATGCATTTGTGGGAAACGCTGAACACAAATTGGGACATTTATTGAACAGGTAGAATGATATTGTCATCACTTTAAAAACAGATTTTCCTTTAGAAATAAACATGCCTGTCTCATTTCAAATAATTCTATTAGAACATTTTCTAATGTGAAGAGGTGGAGCTTACCTCTAGTAGCACACTGTTGATCATGGGGTTAAGAACCTCAGCCTTCATACTGCTCTGTAAACCAGAAAACGGAATGAAATGCCAGGTCAAGAAATACATTTATAAGAAATGTACTGATATCTGAGATGTGGTCTTATGAATTCTATAAAGGTCTTGTTTTACCTTGACTCTTATTCAAAGTTTTTAYGTCAATATTCCTGGTTACTGAGTCTACRTTTCAAACACACCTCAGKAGACCTTAYGTATTTCTACCACAGAYACAATGAACTAAGAGAGGCMCAGGGTTTTACTTTTCATTAATTCATGTACCATAGGGATTCAAATTGCCTACTTTCCTACAAGTGTGAGATTTATGAAAAGWCATTGTTTGTCCATCTGTCTATCAGTGACCTTTTCACATCCTACAAAAATTTTAACCCYTTGCTCATCAACAAGAACACAAAAMGGAAAAACACCTGTCAGAAGGAAAATGAACCTCTTAGAAGTTATACAAATATCTGTCATTAGAACAAAATGAAAGGTCCAGATGAACTCCCCTACAGAAGGAAAGCCAGGTGAAATTCAGATCCCCAAACTGGAGGCAGCACATGCTATGCTGGACAGTGCAGGCTGGCTGGTGAAACAGCTCAGCCTGTATGACATTTTTCTCGACCACCAGTAGGAAGAAAGATGGATACAATGAGTAGTGACATTACTAGAGGATAGAAAATCAAGATTCATTAGCTCCTCTGCTTTTGACAAAGGCAAAAGTTCCTGCCTTTTTTATTTTTACTTTTCTTTGCATTGTGGTTTTTCAGAAAAACAGTAACTTCCAGCAAGAGATGTTTTCTTTCAACACTGAACACAATACTGTGCTTGTAATTCTCTTTTATCATAAGCTGTACTTATGATACACAATACTGATTAATTTAACTGAAGAATTTCTACAACCTTGTAGCCTTCATATTAGATCTATAGAAACACAAAACATCTTAACTTGAGTTTGGAGAAAGATGGCAGAACCTAGGAAAGACTGTTGGAGAAAATAAGTATATTTTTATTCTCAGTATTAGAAAATCCATTACAAAATGCACTGTTTAGTGGACCAGTTTAATATTTTGTGTGCAATTTATTTTTACATATTTATGTATGTATTTATTCCAAGTGTCCCACATATATATGCTAAAATACAATCCCAAAATGCAAAATAAGCATTTCTTTTTCCTAGAGTAATCTGAAGCTATGTAAATTATTCAGAATAAAAGCAACCAAATAAATCATGTTCTTTAAAAATAGTTATGAAAAAACATGCTCAGAGATGTGCTGGAAGAGCTTATGGGAGAACTGGAAAAATTTCCTTAGAAATTTGGAGCAATCAGCAGAACCAGAATTTGTTCTCCTCTGATGCTTACAGAACATTKTCAGCAACAGCACAAATTTTATCTCTGAATCCTGCTATATTACTGAGATGTCAGTCATCCTTGAAGCATTTTGAAAGGCAGGATACTACTTCTAGCAAAGATGTTCACAGATAAAATGATGTTCTTAAACAGAATATCTTGTGATAGAGTGATTTTTTTTAAGATGGACCAATCAGATTTTCTAATCTCTCAAATCTTTTGAAAACACTGTGGTGCTAAGGCAGGAGATTTAGTAAAGGGTAATAAGACAACTTGTGAAACCATCTTAAGGTACAGCAAGTATGATGTGTAAATGGCTTTTACACAAGTATGTTCAAAAGGGATAGGCTGAGCTGCAGAAAAAATTAACAACAAGCTGTGGAACTTCAATTGTGGGGACCTTCAGTGTGATAGGAAGTGTTGAGTGGTAATCAGGAAAAACAGGAAATGGTGTCTAGAAAGAGAGATTTTAGAAGGCAGGGGACAGAATGTCATCTCTCAAGGCTTATAAACTTTCTCTGCTGTAAAAATGCTCTGAGAAAAGAAGTGGCCTCTTTGCTGATATAAAGCCACTTGACTCTGGTAAGAATTTCAGTTTCAAGGTTTGAAGTATGTTAAAAAAAGCCCAAATGCTACAGGAAATGCTGTCATCTTACCCCAGCTGCTGTTACAGAATCAGTAAACTTCTTTGATAAAGATGAAACTTCATTGCACATGGCACTTGTYAAACTGGTTCAAAAAAATGAGAAAGACAAATATCAAAATACATCCTTGATCTATCAATGGATATTTACTCTATGATAAACTTTATCTTGGAAGTCAAGATGTTCTTAAAGGAATTTTGATTCTAAATATTTTTTAAATATTTAGGCATAGACTGTTCACAATAAAGCTTTTATGTTTCTTCACTGAAAAATCTACTGCTGACTACAGCAGCAAAATGATGTAATGCTGTTGCAAACACCAGTCTTTTTCAGTAGTGCAATGCTTCACTTGTTTAAATTCTAGACTTCTAGTTAAACTACCRTTTTTCTGATGATTGCAGCAACACAGCTCCTGGGAATACTGCTAGAAATAAATCAAACTTGAATGAGAAAGGTGAGAGGTTTCCTATGTGACCAATAAAACATCTACTCTGTGCTAAAAGGGAAAGAACTTTGTGGTTGAAATATGACAGAACAAGGACATCCAGTTATGTTCTGAGACCTTTCATAGTTTTCCTATACATTCACAAGTGCATCCCATAGGGCCTCATCCTGGAAGCTGCACCATACCTTAGCTCTGATTCTGAAAAATAYTTCAGAAGTGCTTTGTTTTACACTGAAGTGTTCTTATGGATTTTGCTTTTCTTAGTAGCTTTTGTAAGGAAAAGCCCATAGTTAAATATTTTACTTACTTAGGACTCAACTATTTAAAATATCCTAACATCAAAACCTGCTGTAATTGGTAGAATTGGTAACTACAAAGAATTTGAGATCTGAATTTTGAGTTCCACTAGACAGATGGTTGTTTCACTGTGGTTGACAATGAAGTTGCTGACAAATGGTTTAAAACAACAGATTGATTTTTGTGTATCTTTGGCAGATAAGTACTATATAATCAAACTCTATTGGCAGACAATAAAAGTGCATTATACACTCTAAYAGCAAATTCCATATATGCAAGCACAGCATCTTCTGCAGACAGAASAGGAAATGCAACCCAAACTGGCATGTACATTTGCTTGCTGGAGCCGAAACAACTGTTAGCCTGTGTATAGGTCATGTTTTTGTAAACATACATATGTCAGCCATGTCAAAAACTGACAGGTAGCCTATATAACCTGACTGCATGTGAAAATATAGCATCAGGACCCCTAAAGCCAATGCTGTTTGTTGATCCATGAACTTACTCAGCCTTCAAGCTGAACAGAACTTCACGAGTTCTATGCAAATGTCAAATGTTCATATATGAAGTACATAATACTCACTTTGTCAGTACTTTTGCTTGATCTTGAGCTGTTTTTTCTACTTCTTGCCCATGCAGAATTAATTCTGCTACTTTATGAAGCTGTTCAATACAACGAGCAGTTACCTCAGCCAGACTTTCAATGGACAGCATGTATATTTCCTTAAATTAAAAATGGGAATAATATAATCAATGATAACAACACTAATAAATGTATTTATAGATACATGCATAAAAGAATTTCAAACATAGGAACCTTTCCTATCCCAGCTGGAAATACCAACACACACAAAATGAAGCAATATCAGCCATAATGTCATTCTCATAAACAACACTGGAAAATGAAATATCCACAGACTATAAAATGCAGACCTTCTACTTGTTCAGAAAAATTGGTATGATCAAGTCTACCATTTACTTGGCTGGGAACTACGTCAGGGTATTGGATTTTTTAACGTACCMCTTTTAAACCTGATCTGAACAAACAGAAAGATACCTAAACTCTAGAAAAAGTCATATCATTATTATTTTCCCATGGAAYCAAAAGTACTCGGTCACCCCTCAGCTGAATCTCCAGAGCAGAAATGGATAACRTGCCCAATAAAAAAGTGGTTTTTATAACAATGATAAAAATCTCTACATAGCACTATGGGGTTACAGCTTTCACAAGCTGATGCCAGTTTGAAATTTGCAATCCCATAAAAATCTGTAATATATGCAGTGTATATTTTGTGTCTGCTTCTTTAGACTTYTTTTGTAAGGAAACATGACAGATAGTTTCTTATTAGAAAGAATAATGTTGACGAAGATAGCAACCACAAGTTGCTATTAACTTCACAGAAAATATTCAATTACAATTAACATTATCAGGACTATCTAAATGAACACAACACTTTTAGCCTTAAGAGCTATCTTTCATGAAAAGAATGCACAGTTGTTAAACAATTCTGTTTTGYCTGTTCATAATTTAAACTGTTTAAATAGTTTGAACATTGTTTCCTATGCATTGCTACTGAGAGAAGGAGATAACAAGAAATGTTGAGATACAACTTTCAATGGGCATGTAATGTTTGACATTTCACCAGAGAATCCATCTGTACAGAGCTCACTGTAACTTGAGCATACACATGTGTACACACAAAACCACACATATAAAACAATAAAAACAATGTGATAGAGAATGTGCAATATRTCCATCCTTAATGAACTTAATGAAACTTATCCTCCAAAAGTTATTTTACCTCCACAGTTTTGCTTTTGTCTGYTTTGGTTTTATCACTGTCAATTTTATCATCTTTTTGAGTATTTTCTTCACAAGGTTCTCCAGGCTTTTCTTTTAGCTCCTCTTCTATATCTACTGGGGTAGACAAACTGGCTTCTTCCAGCCATTCATGAGCTTTTTTCCTAGCCTGCCAAACAAAGAACCCAACCCCAAAGTTTAGTTGAAAAGCAAATATCAGATCACATTCCTGAACATCAATTAACAATACATTTAATTACTTCCTTTTTACACTCAGAAATTTGAATATATCAAGCATTTAGTTAAGTGTATATTTAAGAAATCATAGGGAAAAGCATYTCTGACTGCATAAAGATGGATCATCTCCAGGGATAATTCCTCTAAAGGTGTGATATTCCTAATCACGACATACAGCTGGCATTAACTCCAGAGTAATATTTTTGCTTTATTAGGTATCACTCAAATGAATTTACAGAGAATTTTTTCTTACACTGTTTCCCAAATCAGAAAATAAGAAGGGTGCATGAACAATTTTTAAAAATAGGAGAAATAAGAGAGATGCACTAAATTCTTAAAGGAAAAATAAATATAAAATCACTGTATCCTGAGCTGTCTTCCCAGGCATGAAAGTAGATCAAAGCTGAAGAGTCTTGAAGCTTTATACAACTTGAGACTACTGTTATGCTTAGTAGAAAATTTAGGATTTTTTTTTAACATCAAATTAGATTAAAATACATTAAGACCTAAACCTAAGCTAGTTATCCATAGTCTATCTATGTAGCTAGAGATACAAACATTCATTTGAGCCTCAGATGAGCAGATTGATCAGCTTCAAAGTACAGGATCTTTTAAAAGCTTTAAAGACCTGATAGTATAAATGTGACTAGTTATGTGACCAGCTTCTGGATACCTAACTTTGAAAATAAGAAAAATTATTCTGAACCTGATCTTTGTTTCCAGAACAAATCTGYTGTGCTCATGAGCCCTGTTCTGCTAAGACACCCCTGGTTCAAGGCTCTCTAACACTGGAAAGGGCTCATCCAACTGCATTGCCTTACTCATCTCACTTCTGTCAAAGCTTTTCTATACTCAACATTTTAGTCTCAACCTCCTGTACTTTGCTTTCTGAGCTATCTAAAGTGAGCTGAGTACTGCCCTGTGTCAGATTTCAGAACAAAGCCCTTCTTTTTTGCCCATGAAACTRAAGGCAACTCACTAAGAGGTGCTAACCTTATTTAGTTTGTCAGGAGTAGCAGCAACGTGCAATTCAAAGAGCAGTTCCGTGAGCATGCTGACAAACTCTTCTCCCATGTCTGCTGCAAGAAAAAGCAGGACAGGTTTTGTTAGTGTGTTACTGCTATAATATTTTATAAGAACAAATATATCTAGTGAAATAATTTCACCAAATATATCTAGTGAAATAATTTCACCAAGTGTTCCAGCACTTGAAAAACCGCGGCAGTGACACAAGAAAGGAATGTGTGTGGGGTGTGCACATAAATGCTCAAATAAAGAACAGAACCAGCAACAGGGATCCCCGCACAACCTGATACACCAGCTTGACACTTCAACTGTTTTTTCTATCCCATCGTAAGTTCCACTAAGCTTCACAAAAGCAGGCAAGAAACTGCATAACCCCCTGTTATCTGACAAAAAACACATGACCCAGAAAATAACCAAAGAAGAGACACTAGCTGTTCTTTCAAACCAAGGAATAAAAACTGCAGCACGACCAGATACAAATAAGTTTCAGCRGAAACATACTGTTCATGCATATTCTCTACTGCTCTGCCTGCCTGCAAACCACAGATAAGAGGTGTATTTTCTTTCTATTTTAAGGTTGAGATTTGCTTAAATGAAGAATGYTTTCTGGTTTACTTTGAAATAATGAGCCTCAAAGAATCTGCTCTTTTATTTCACAGGATTTTTGAGGAAAGATAAGTATAACTCATATTCTAACTTAATTTTTATTACATATACTCCTTTGACAACTTGCAGRTGACATATTCTAACATGCTCCAACTTGCTAAAAATTAGTATTTTGATTGGTTTTGTTCATCTGTGTTTACTGAGTTTGGACAAGATTTCCTGATGGAATATACAAAATCCAGTTCTTTGACCTGATGCCACTAGAAGGTCAGACCCCCCATAGTAAACTTGATAAAAGTCCAGCTACTTCAAAAAATAATTTTGCGTCTTGCTATATTCTCACTTTTTTTCTTCATTCATTAGGTAGGGTCAGATTTTCCATTTTTAAGGAAATCTTCAGTACTGGGCTTAAAAGCAGAAATTTATTAGTCTCCAATGAATTTGGGGACTTTAGTAGAACTGTTTACAGTATAATGCAACATGTGGAAAGGTGWTAAAATCTGACACTCAGATTATACTCTCCTGGAGGGAAGGACATTTCRTTCTTGCTTGAAAAGAGTGTCCATCCTTGAGGCTATATAAGAAGTTAGTGTGTAGCACAAAAAATTCTTCACCTACAACAAAAGAGAGACCGAGCTTATGTYTTAACACAAGGGAACAGATCAAGAAGTTTGTATTCTGGCAGGCCAAAGAGATGCATGGAGTTCAGTTCACTGCTGTCCTTACGACAATACATTTTGACAATAGGATTTTCAGGCTTTGCAATACACTGCACTCACTTGTTCTTTAATCAATGCCAAATTGTTTTATGAATGGCAGCTTGCTGAAAAGAGATCAGCAGTTTACTACATCAATGCAAAATTACCAAAATGGTTGATAACTGGGATATTCAATTGAATATAACTTTAGTTACTGTCCTGCTTAACCTCACATATGAAACTTTTGCTGTTAATGCCTTTCAAAGTAAAGGTAAAAGTAGGTAAAGCTACTTTTTCAGATATTCTCCTCTTAGTATTGCATAAACAAATAAAATGAAGCTGCAGTGAAAAATACATAAAAGGGTTGCATAATCAATGTGAGAGGAAACATAAGAGAGAAGGGTTTGCGCATGGCTTTCTGTTATTTGCATCAAAAAATACATGTTTTCTTTTTTTTTGTATCGATTTTGCACCTATCTGACTGTTAAGCCATTGCACAAAAAATACTCCAATTYGAGTTTCAAAGTTGCAAGAACAAAGCCTAGCCCAAATCCCTTCCTGAAACAGYCCTCCAAAGATCACTGCAATAATATCTCTTCCTACAGGACTGAAAGCCTTAAAGCAGCACTAACTCATCAGAAACTCATTCAGATTCTGAGTCTATGATAAGACAGGATCCTGAGAATTTACATAAAACAAATGGTCACCCTTTTCAAACACTTAAATGCAAAGTACTGGGTTTTCTCCCACCTATTCTTCTTTTCTTTTCTGAATATATACAGTAATGGAAAATGACACTATATGAACAACATGACTTGTATGCTGAGAAAACGATGACAAATTATCAATAATTAACTTGTGGTAATTAACTTGTTTCCAAATACTGCTCARTGAATATCAGCTAATGCTTTCAAACAACATTGTTTAATTTCTGTATTTTTAGGGGCCTATCTTCCTCACATAAAGGAAAAAAAACCCAGTTTTTATCGAATTAGGAAGCATAGATCAAAATCTTATGGAAAGCAACTTAGTTGTAACCTGTTTAACAAGGAGGATTAAAATCAAAATTCCTGCAGAGAATTTAACATAGCCTGCTATCTCTTGCTATACAAGGTAGCTTAAGAAAAAATATAATTCTGTGTAAAAAATACACTAWTAAAAGATGATATGGCTTATTGTCTTGATTTTATTAGTGTAGAACCTATTAATGTGTGTACAGAACTTTTGGCTCAGCCCTAACAGAAAGCTACTTGGAGAAGTGATTTACCTTCCTATTCTTTTGGTTCCTCTAGTGGAACTAAAATTTATCCAACTTAATACTAATAAATGAAATATATCTGTAGTTGAAAAGCTAATAAACCTTGTGCCTGATCACACCAAAGGATGTGAATRATTTTGCACTGCTGCCTGAAGTAACATCCATTCAGCTGTAAGGTAGAAAGAACATGTGTGTGGTTATTATTTCCACTGTCATAGGAGGGAGGATGTTTTTCACTGATGAGTGGTTTGCTTTTGCAGGGGAAAACCAGCAGCACACTTTGATTTGGTCTCTTTTTTTTYCTTAAGGTACTCATTGCTTTGGTTGCAGCCCACTCAAAACGCCTGTAAATGTTTCAAGCAGCATGACAAGCAGCAGTGCTTTGTTGAAGAAAACAGAACTTCTGGCCTTCAGAGAAAACATTATTTTGTGCAAGGAGCAGAGCTTCTCCTGGGAGCTGGTTTCAAAGCAAGGAACTGTTTTCTGCAGAAATTAAGGAACAACATACATCTCTCTCCTAAGCAGGTAATGCACTTTCTTGACTTCTATTTCTCACAATCCCATAGAGGAATGTGGGATTTTAAAGAGTAAGTAAGAGGGGAAAAAAAGCAGCACAATACCATACTAAGACTTCACRCTGAGCACTTGCTGTCCCCCACAATGAGAAATCATGAGCTCCCTGTGAGAGAGMTCAGGCAAGCTGAGTAAGCACTGCCAAAAAGAGCAATCTGAGCAGAAATTACTTTCCTGTTAGAACATGTGGATGTTAACACAGTTTCTCTAACTTTTCTGAAGGCTAAAGAAATGGTACCTCACCATCTTGCAAAATGTACGTTTTATGGGCCAAGTACCCCTGAGAAGATCAAGAGGATGGGGAAGAAATRCATTTTTATGTTTCTTTGTTTCTGAAGCACAACAATGTCGTGTTCAATGGCATAAGCCAGTCTTCACTCAGGTCAAGGGGATTATTTCTGCTTGCTCTAAGAGGTTTGGTATGGATCTCACAGGCCTGGAGACATGAACCGTGCCAGCTTTAAGCTGACTTCTTTTTGTTAGGGGGAATGCTGAAGTTTCTGACCTGTTTAAGACACCTATTTTGCCCCTAACCAAAGCATCCCCCCCATTATATTGTAACTTCTGTGAGCTCAGCCCATTCTYTTCAGCACTGCGCCATGTCACAGTTACAGCATGGTTAATGCTGCTCTAACTTCCTTCTCCACAAGCCAGGTCTTGCCAAGCAATATCTCTAAAGCATCTTTCCTACTGTGTTTCARAGTGACTTTCATTAAAAAATTCAGGGTTCCTAAGTTTCTTTATGACACTCTGATCTTTTCCCCATGTAACAAGAGATGTTGCAGAGTGAGGATGAAGTGACTGAACAGAAAAGCATTTCTAAGTACTCCAAGACTTTCAGATTATTCAATTTCGTAAACAGATTCTGTAAGAACAGATATTATCCAAAAAGTTATTGTTTGCTTTTGTTTTTTTGCTTTCACTGATGATATAGCAAAACACTGTGATATTGAYCTATGTTTTATTTTCTGTATCTTGCACTTCAGTTACTATATAAATTAAAATTAAGCACTGACCAGCTTCCAGAACTTTTAGAGTATTAATTTTAGCAAATACCTTACCTGATATTAGGATATCATAAATTACAGTTCAGACTATAATTTTTTTCCATTACTAGATAAAGAAATAACAATTATTCATATTGTTAAGTCTCTGTATTTCTAATTACCTTTTTGTGCCTGCACCACTTCATTATCTAATTCCTTTGGAACAAAAATCTCTTTTATAGCAATTAAATCATTTTTCACAGTCTCCAACTGTTCTCCATCAAGTGTTGCTAAATGTGACTGAATCTGTAAAAGAAAGGACAGTAAGCATTATTAAATGCTAATGTAGAGSCTGAATCCAAAACAGACTAAGAAATGGAAACTTCCATTATGTTCAAATCCTGTTTCTAACCTTCCAACTTAGACATATTTTTAGTTCTTGTCAACAGAATTTGTTGAGTATCACAAAAATTGCACCAGCCTTGCCAGATCATCAGGTCTCTAATTCCCTCCAGAACACGAGTTTTGAACTACAAATCTATGGTTTAACTGCACACTGTAACAGGCAGGATTGCCTGGATGAAGACAGCAGGCAGAAAGCACAGGCAGAGTGATTGGTCTGAGCACTCACAGGAGGAGTTGGAAAAAGAGGTCTGTTTTCCCACCTTCAAAATGCAGCCAAAATTATTGAAAGTCTATCCATTCTGAAGAATGTATTGACAGGTCTTTGCATGTCTCAGGAATCTGCAAGTCCCTGCTTATATAATAGRATGGCACACCTAAGAGGGATGGAGATTCTTTGAATCACTGTTTGTAGTGCAGTTACATGGTGTTAATCCCATGAGCAGAGTGCTCCCTCCACAAATGGAAGCCAAGAGTAATGCCCTTACTCTCCTTGATAAAAAATCTTACTTTTTAATATTTTTACTTTTTGTTTCACGGGGTTAAGTTTGCTTGAGAGATGTACACACTGCCTCATTAGTATAATTTCAGTAATAGTATCTTGGCGTAGTTTTATATAACTTTAAAAACTAACACAATAAGAAGTGACTAAATAATCKGGAACTAATTTTATTTGACTAGCCCCCACGTGTAGTAGGTCTGAAATTCCTGAATTTAAGTATTTGTACCTGATACAAAACCAAAAGATTTCAACCTCCYTGCAAATTCTGCAAGTAATTTGCAAGACATCTGCATAGAGTCATAAGCTGAAAAATGCACACTACATATGGTCTTAACAAAAATGCCTGCCAGTCATGAAGTTGTTTGTTTTGAATTAATTTTGTAGTTAACTTTTAGGTGTATTGAAATGGAGTTTCAATACTGGGTGCTGGCCCAAAGAATCAATTCAGCTTTCTCTGAAGTTGGTGGAAAACTTACTGTTCATTTTACATACATCTGCAAAATAAAATTAATGTAAAGACTTTTTTTTTTACCAAACATATTAATTTATGCTGTCTACATACTGTACCTGAGCTTCACTTTCATTTGACAGGATTTCCAGAGCTTCAAGATGAGACAAACCTTGGAATTCATCAAAAAGTAGTCCATAATGTGCTGTTCTTTCAACTGTAACTTGCTGGGCCCGCCTCAGTTTCTCTTTTTCTTTAGCTTCTCGCAATAGCTGTAAAAATATACATCATTCCATGTTTTATTGAGAGTGCTGTAAGTGTGACAGATTTTATTAGTGCCTGTTTCTGTGTGTCTAGAAGCAGTAATAAAATCTGAGACTGTATCACACCTGCAGAGCTAAAATTTTAGAAATGAAATAGCTAACTTTTATTTTGATAATTTTCTCTGATAAAATATTTATATAGTATTTTAATTGGGGTTTTCCCAAGGCTAATTGCTAACCATCTTTCTCTAAGAAACAATGAACAAAGAAACAACCTTGCTTATATTTTCAAAAGCAATGTCAGCTACAGAAACCATACAATAAATTTCACCACCAATAATAATAAGAGTAAAAGGACTATTTAATCTGTGGCCTTAAAGAGCCATGCAATCAATTCTACAGATCACAAAATCAGAAGTATTATTTTCAGGACCTACCCACCAACTTGCATAAATAGTGGACTGACATAAATATCTCCTGTGAAATACTCTTATTAAATACTAAAGTTAGTCTTATGTAACAGCAGGACTGACAAAAGAAATTGATGATTTGTACAAAAGGTCAGGCAGAACTACACTCTATTTACTTGGGTATATTTTGGAGTGCTTTTAATACACTTCTATCAGTGTATAAGAACGATAGAATAATGTATGCAATAGGATCTTCTACACCTCCCTTCTACTCCTAGAAAGAAATRGCCTCTCATGAATTTGCTACAGTAAAGATGGTAAATATATCTGAACTGCATCTTAGGTCACATACAAGTCTCTGAATCGGGGTGAACTCCCACCACTTACATTATTCCATCATTCAAAATTTCTACACTAYTCAGTGATTAATTTGTTACAAAAGACTTACAATGGTACATTTTTCCTATGAAGCCACCATCTTCAAAAGCTAACTCACAAAGTTTTATGAAAAAAATCACTGAAAACTGATATTGCATGAGAACTCATTTCTGTTGTATTCTGCCTCAGATTCTATGTGCAAATTCATGGACGTTGTGAAAGGAGATATTCTCAAAAGCTTATTTTAACCCTGTGGGTCTTCACGAGAGTTGATTGCCTTTGATCTACTATAACAGCTTAAGYTGGTTAACTCTCACAATGATGAACAGTAAAAATGAAACATCTCATTAAAAGAAAAATAACCTACTCTTCTCTACAATGAAGTAAACATGCAGTAGTTCCTTTTCAATGTCTATTGTTTTCCCCAGCCTCCCTCCTCTCAGTGTCTGGAGAACTGAAACTATTTTGTACTGACAGCACTTACACTTCTGTTTTTATTGCATCTCTGAGCTTTAAAACATGGGAGCCACAACTGCGTATGGGTACCATTAAGTTAGATGGACATTGAGATACAGCTTTTTACAGGTTAAATTCCTAATGAAACATATGTCATATTCCAATATTACTGGTTTCCAAGTAAAACAGTAACATTTAGGCTGGAAGATATCTATTTACAGCTGTTACCAAATCACCAACAATTTGATTCTGTCTCCAAACTGTAATGATTTATCACCACATACACTGTCTTATTTAAATCAGCTTGCATATGTGATTATGCAGAAAAGATGATTTTACATTATCTTTTGTGGTTTGCAAAGAAAAATAAAGTAGAGCAAATATAAAACATAATATTTATTTCCATGAGCCCAGCCACTGCAATCTACTGCAATATCTACTGCAATAAATAAAGCCTTTCCCTGAGGCATGTGAAATTCTGGAAGAAGAATCTGAAATTGCATTGACAGAGCAGTATTTAAATAAATCCAACCTGAGATAGTGAGACTGTTCTTGCCATGAGTGTTTTGGTTCTCTTAAATCCAGGATCGCTTTCTGCAAGGACATTCATGGTTGTCTTCCCAATAAATTCCAAAGCATCTAAGCCTCCAGATAATACACTTTTCCCCTGTATAAAATAATGGAATGTGGTTATTCTCTTTTCAGTTTAGTTGAATATGAACTGTAAAGAGGAGTGCTTTTTTAGATATTGTCTTTGAACACTGAGGTCCCTTAATTTTCTATACCTTAACTAACAATAGGATTGATGCACTTGCTTTGTTCTGAATACATTTTCCAAAAGAAAAAAAAAAGAACCATACAAATATTTCCAGATAATGAAACTACTTACACCAGAGGAAATGTAAAAATTCTTGTAAATAAGAAAAAAAAATTAATAATACCATAAAAGGGCTGGAGCACATCTCCTGTGAAGACAGCCTGAGAAAATTAGGGCTGTTTAGCCTGAGGAGATCTTCTAGCAGCCTTCTAGTACCAAAAATGGGGGCTGTTGGAAGGTTTGAGCGGGACATCTTGCAAGGGCAAGCAGTGTGAGGACAAAAGGGAATAGCTTTAGGTTGAAAGAGGGCAGATTTAGATTGGGCATCAGGAAGAAAGTCTTCACAGGATGGTGAAGCAATGGAACAGGCTGCCCAGAGAGGTGGTGGATGACCCACGCGTGGAAGTGTTAAAGGCCAGGCGAGATTAATCTTTGAGCAGCCTGGTTKAGTGGAAGRYGCCCCTGTCCAATGCAGAGGCATAGGAACTAGATGCTCTTTAAGGTCCATTCCAATCCTAACTATTCTGTGACTATAATTCTGTGAMTATCACTTTAATTTCATCCAATAGCATCTGGTTTGTAAGAACATGTTTTAGATATAATGTTTAGAATAATATGGAGCAAGGTCCATCATGAACAGGAAGACCCTGCCTTACCAACTTGTAAAATGTTAAGACTTGTGATGACTCTGGAACTGTCTATTGAAATACTTATGTTTTTCCTGTGTCTTTTATGTACACTTCTTTTATGAAGAAATTCCACTGGCTAAAGATTTCCATTTYAACCTGGATTATGTGTGTGTCAGATACTCAAATGCTGATGTAAACTGACATATAATGGAAAATCCCAACCAAAGTCTAAAATGGCATTAAAAGTGACTTACTGAAACCTTAGGTGATTCTTTTTGTACCACATTGATCACTATCAAATAGTAGCCTCTCCAGGCTGCCTACAAGCACATTTCTATTATTTGCAAACCTTATATAATACTCAAGTAATCTCACCGGTGCCCAGCTCTCCCCAACCATATGATCCAGGTTCTGTAGAAAGTCTTAGGAATAATCTATAAGCGTCTCCTTCTGCTCCCAAAATCTTTTGATGTTAGAGTAATGAGGCACTCTAACTCATGTTAGAGTGAACTGAATGCACACTAAAAAAGAACTTCATAAAACTCCCCACTTCATAAAACTTGCTCAGTGGGGACTTAATCTTCTATGCTTTTACAGCCAATATTTAAAATCTCTTTTAATTTTAAGTGGAACACCATGCTGAAAGGKGCAAAAATAGTTGGGGAAGAAGATGACATGAAAATTTATTTGGAAACAGTATGATACAGGATTCTGCAAAAGCTGAAGTCCAGACAAAGAGAAAAGGATGAAGTGCAACACACAAAATAAAAGGACAGTGTGATAGGAAAGAAAGAATTGTGAACGAAAGATTTTGCCCCACTGAGTCTGCAATCAGACCCCCTTCTGGGAAGGCTAATACAAAATGAAAGACTAGATAGGGAAGTAAAGGCCAGAGACTAAAAATAGAGAGCTTAGTAAAAGCCWTAAAATAAGCAAATGGAGTATTTTCTTACTTTATCTGCCTTCAAAAACAACAAATCCTATGACACTTTCTCTACAGCAAAACACTACACTGTATCTGTAAAAAATGCAAAAATAAGATGATAGTACAATTATAAAAAAGATTTTCCAAGAATCTGCAGAATTCTACATAGTTTAGGAGAAGACCATATTTTTTTCACTCAAACTGGTGACAAAGTAGTAACTGACTTAGTTCTGTTTGACCTTTTTAAAAAAATTTGACAGTTTAATTTAACAGTTATTTTGTCATGGAAACTACTCTAAACAAAAAGGTTACAAAAGAACTGYTTTTACAAAGACCTGTAACTTAAAAAATGTGGCCTACAGTGAAGTTGAACCTAAAAATAATGAAAAATATCTAGAGCAGAGAGACCAGCTAAAATGACTCACGGTGTTTTGTACAGCACTAGTGATAGCTGACAGCATGCCACGAGATCCAGATGAAGGAGAAGAAGGAATATTCTCAGAAGAGCTTTGGTCCAGAGAATCTTCTGCTTCTAACAAAAGAAAAAAAAGCAGGTTACAGCATAATTTCAACTGTGCAAGTCACAAATTACAGTGAACTGGTTTTTGTGACCAAAACAGAAAAAATTTGTAAATAAAAGAAATTTGTCAGTGTCCAAAAGTTTCTTTCCAATTTCAGTGGACTTAAACTTACCTGCAATTGGAATTTCAGCTGCAGGAGGCTCTGCTGTTTCCAATGATGCTGAACTTCCGCTATGAATTCTTAGGGTAGTTCCTGCTTTTTCCTTTACTGCTGTTATCCCATGACCTGTAGCAGGGGCATGTTTTAGACTATATGATTTRAAAACTTAAATTATTAACACTGCATAGTATTCTTAAACTTCATGAATTATGACAATCAAAATATCTACTAAACTTACCTCAGTTGCCTATTTTTTTCTAGGTTAATAATTCACTTCTACTGTATCTACATTAACTGAAGAAAAATGATAAGGCTAAAATATAACACAAATTATGTTGGATCTGGAAAGTAAAAGTTATTTCAGTGCCACACATAAGTTTAGTTCCCTGCCCTTCAAAATGCTAAATATTCTATTGCAATCAGTTTAAACACAAACTGATGTTCCTCCTAAGGCCATAGGGTTTGATCTCACATTGTTTGCAGAATTAAAGAACAGTTAACCCTAAGTAAATGGACTGAGTGTGACTGCAGGGCAGAGGTAAGGATTTTGTTATTCAATCTTCTGCATAGGTGCTATGTTTTTAGGAATACCGGCTCTGGTCCTTAAAGGTATTTCAGGATTTAATCTTAGTTGCTCATTTGAAGTAAAATTCCAAAGTGTATCTCCTTAAAGTTACCATTTAAATATACTTTGCAAAGTCTCATGTCAATGGGCACACTCAGAACTATTGCTCCGGGGGCAGCTGATCTCCTACGGAGATTTTACTACCTTTACCTGATGCATATGCAGTGACTCCCTATTTCTCTGTTAAAGTGGTCTACTTTCATATAAAGTATAAATGTTGCTACCATTTATCTGATTTTTTTAACAGAACAGGATTGCTTTGTTGGTTTTCTACACAGTTTATTTACACGAGCAGATCACAAGGACTAGCAATAACCTGCTGTAGGACAGACAGACTGACTGGTAGTCAGCAARGGGAAGCAGTATCTTCTCAATCTGCATGAACTGTAGTTGAAAAATGCTGCCCTTAAAAAAWGACTACTCTAAAATTGTCTGCCTAGTTTGCTTCTGGATATGTCCACAAATATGTCCATGATATACTTCTCTCAATACAAGCAATGCAGCTTGTAATCTTCCTTAGCTGGAAGTTTCTGAGGTGCAACAGGTGAACAACAAACCAGGCAAGCAATACTTCTTTACAATACAAAATGAAATAGCTCCAGCGACACGATTTGATTTTTATCTTGTACAGGACACTGTTACTGCATCTCACATGAAACTGATCACATCTAACAGCAGGACAATCCAGAGTGCTTCAGCTACCTACCTAACTACATAGGAGAAGTGCTAATGACAAYTTTATTCTTCTTTGGTTAAGCTGAACTGCACATAGACGAATTTTCAGAAAAGGCATTATTTCAGAAAAGGCATCAATAAAAGATGGCCAGGCAGATATCTAGACATCTAAGGCACAAAGTTAAGCATGATTCATGAAGYGTAATTCACATTTTCCCACAACTGTGTGCATTCCACTGGAGAAGTTCAAAGCATCTTTTCTGAATGATATTAACTATAGCAAAATAGCCTAGTGCTCTGCAGCATTCTGAATAAACATATACATATATGTGTGTGTGTATGTGTGTGTAGACATACAAATACGTTTTTTGAACATCTGATTAAAGAAAGATGGAGCAAATCTATTTGAAATGGAGTAGGAAAAAGGAAAGTTTAGATTTACGATTCTGTGATTTCCAGATGGAGTACACATCAGGTGCTCTGTGATTTCAGTAATAAATATAGAAAACATCTGTGAAGCAACGCAACTGAAAGATCCCATACAAGAAAACTTGAGTATCTGGAAGTAAACACAAAGAACACATATCCCCTAGGGAACAGACCTGCAGAATTTCATAATCTGCATGAGGTCCTAATGTTTTACACTGAAACAGCCTAGGCAGAAAAATGCCATTACCTGTCTAAAGAAAATATGACCTTTACCTATTTTATTTTTGTCTTACAAAATACAGTAATGTGTTCAACTGTACAGGTCATACCAGGTTATGCACCACAGTATTTAGGTCATTGTTGGATAATTTCTTGACTTTGCAAAAGTTCTGTTCCAATGCAGATACTGGAGAGCAGTGTACTGCATGGTCTAATCCCCATCTCCCACATAATTTAATGAATTAAATGAAAATATTAGTGTGGATAGATTCTGGAGCCATTTATTTAATCCCCAAATGTCTGGGGCTCAYTTAAATCACTATTAATAGTGCTCTTAAACTGAAATAATAGATTCTCCATGTCACATTCTTTTAACAAGTTGTGAGCATAAAAAATAGAAAAGAGCAAGAGTTCTATAATTCCATTAACTTAATTGACTTGATTTGACAACAAAATACTATGGTCCTAAAGTCATATAAAACCCCTTATAAACATTAAGCAAAAAATTCAAAATTGCATTTCATTAAGCAAAAAATGCAAAAGCTACGCATTTTCAGATTAATTTCCCACTTGTTTTCTGTGATTTTTTAATAGCCTAGAATTGGTTCTCATAGTTTTGCAGACAAGCTAATACACTTAGAGAAAGAAAGSACACAGTTGCTGTGTTGATATTTACTGACTTACAAAAGGCCGCATTTTCAGGGCTGTGGTTACATGCACTAGAATAATAAGAAAATACTCCAGGTCAGCTACCAGTAGCTTTGCTGAACTAAGCTGTATGACATGTATGTTTTATTGCAGCAACAAAACCAGACGAGATCAGAAGACCACAACTGAAGCAACCGTTAGACACACATTTGTGTACAAACACTGCAGAAATGCATGTTGCCTTGGAAATAAAAACGATTATTCRTAATTTCAAAAGGCACAGAAATAAAAGAGGTCATGGGAGAGAAGTCTACAATTTAGAGACAAAGATGCACTCTTTTTGTTACACTGGGTGTGGTAATGCAACTGAGCTGACACCTCTGACATCTCCATTTACTCCTCTGTAACAGCAGAGACAAAAGAGCTATGCAAGAGGTATTGTTAACTGTGAGCTTCTGGAAGAAAGCAGGCTTTTTCCCTGWCTTACTGCTTCCGTTTCTCTTGCCTCTAATTTCAACAGAATATTATTGTTCATGTTGCTAGCTGGGATCTGTCCTTTGAAAAGGAAGGTTTTGCAAGCAGTGCCTAACAACATGACCTGCCTTTTGGTTTGCMTGATCTGCCCAGGGCCAGATTACAGCACTCACAAATGCTTTAGTCAGATATATCCCACTTCACTGTAGGCTGTCTTTATCTTTCACCTCCCAGTTTAGTAGCTTTGGATTCCCTRCAGAGTTGAAAGAGGCAAACAGACACCTCTGGAGGGCAGTTCAGCATGTCTGAAACCTAAAACCACTCTGTATAGGAACCACTGATTCCTTCTCCTCCCAGGGCAGAAGTACTCTCAGGCAACTGGACTCCCTGCTTCAGCAGTACAGATGGGGAGGAGGAGTCTGAGATTTTGTACCCGGCTACCACATAGCCTTTGTAACCTGTGTCCTACCATGGGGACAAAATTTCTTTACAAAATTTCTCTTCCTTGCAGTTAAAACCAAAAAAAAAAA